CTATGGCTCCCAGGGTTGCTGTAAGGTCACATTGTGGTTGTCTGAGTTAGTAACAGGAAACCCAGTGCCTTCTGGCTGGGCATGGGGAAGTCAACTTAACTTTTTCTTTGGCTGGTGGTTCTGAAGCCAGCCATTTGTGGCCTGTGGTTTAGCAGTAACTCTGTGGATGGGTCAAAGCCTTGGCTCTAACAAAAGCCCTTTCTTAGAACTGATACTATCTCTTCAGCCTGAGGCTTGAGTAAAGTCAGATCCAGTAAAGAACCTGGGTGTTTCCTTATGGCTCTAAACAACCACTGCAATTTCAGAAATAATAATAATAATTTGAGATGGATCATAAACCTAAATGTAAAACCTAGAATCAAAAATATTGAAAAAAACAGGAGAATCTCTTCACAGTGTTGGGATAAGCAAAGAGTTCTTAGACAGGATACAAAAGGCATTGACCACAAATGGAAGGAATAATCTATTGGTCATCAAAAGTGAACATTTCTGTTTTTCATCATCAAAAGACACCATTAAGAAAATAAATGGATGAACCATTTGAAATATATATATATATCTGAAATACATATATACATATATCTGATGAAGGAATTATATCCAGAATGTATTTCTCTAGGTCAAAATAGAAGGACAAACAAGCCAATTTTAAATGAGAACAGAGATCTCACAAAATAAGATACATGAAGGGCCATTAGCACGTGAAAAGACGCTCAATGTCATTAGTCATCAGGAAAACACAAACCAAAACCACAGTGAAAGACTTCATACCCAATGAAATGGCTAAAATAAAAAGTGGTAGCACCAAATGCTATGGAACAAAAACAACTCTCACACATTGCTGGCAAGAATGTAAATGATAAAACTACTTTGGAAAACAGTTTGGCAGTTTCCTATCAACATATAGTGATTCCATTCCTAATTAATTACCCCAGAGAAGTGAAAACATATGTCTGTACAGATACTTGTACAAGCATGTTTATAGTGAACTTATTATAGCCCCAAACTAGAAACAAGCCAAATGTTCCTCAACAAGAGAATAGATGTTTTAAAGGCATATATTCATATGCTGGAGTACTATGCATCAATGAAAAAAGAACAAACTACTAATATCCACAACAACATAGATGAACCTCAGAAACATTACGCCGAGCAAAAAAGCCAGATATAGGGGAACACTATATGATTCCATTTACATGAAGTTCTAGAATGGATCCAACTCATCTACAATGACAGAAATCAGAAAAGTTTGCCTCTGGGAGCAAGGAGGCAGAGCTTGTCTAGTTAGGGGCAAACTTCCAGGGTGATTGGAAGTGTTTAATAGCTAGATCTTGTTTTAGATGATGATGACACAGGTCAGTACAATTGCCAACACTCCTCAACTGGAACACTTAAGATCTGTGCATTTCACATAAGATTTTATATATTTTATAGCTTGATTTAGAAAGCAATTTCAATAGCCAGCACTTACAGAAACCTTACTCTATGCCTACCGATGGTCCCAACAATGCTCACACCCACCTAGCAGGTGGGACCCATCGTGACCCTCTTTTTTACCAAAGAGGAAACGAAGTCGCTGAAAGGGTGCAAAGCCACTGAATGGAGGAGACAGAACCTCAATTTTGTGTCCTGAGACCGTCTTCACTTTAGATGTCTGGTTCTCAAGTTGTTATCTCTTGAGTCCATGTCAGCATCTGACACCTGGTCTTGCAGGCACTTAGGAAATGGTGTTGGACTGAAAATGTGATTTCTAGTCATTGTCAGATATTAAGTGGACACACGCTAAACCTCAAACCCTGTGCTTAGGGTGGAGGAACAGCAGTGAAGGAAGGGGCCTGCCCACTCAGGAGCCCACTTCCTGGAGAGAGCCCACAGGCAGACATCTAAAGGCTCCAGTGTGTATGCTGCTTTTGGTGCTTTTCCCTGACTATCTCTCGGCCCAGGTTTAGGGTTTATCTTCTGTGGCCTTCTAAGGCTCCACCCTGTTCCAGAGAGACCCTGGTTGGAAATGCTTTCCCTGATGACACAGGAAGCCTCTTCTCTTCACAGGTGCTCTGTCAGAGAGAGCGCTGTGAAGTACTCTCAGGCTCTGGGTGCATACCTGGCTTCTGCACAACTCCCTGTATCTAGGGCTCTCAGGGGCACACCTGCCAGCAGCGATACAGACGATGAGATTGTGCACGTGCTGTGAGGCCCCAGGCTAAGGCTTGCCCCTGCTTCTAGCTTCTAAAGGCAAGTTTGGTGCAGGTTCAGGCATCAGAGGTGCTCATAAATCACAGAGGGCCTGCGGCTTTGGGGAGCGCACTTTCCTGCTCTGCTGGGCCCCATCCTGCCTACAGATCTGGTGATGGGTCATCCATCACTGTCATCTGCACAGAGTCACTTGGGGGCCCACAGATCTCCCCATTCCCAGGGCATTCCCAGCCACCAGCTCCAGCACTGATGGGCAGAGTCATGCCCATCTTTCTCAGTTTGGGCCATCGGGCCTTCAGTCAAGACTCCTCAGTGACCAGCTCCCTGCCTCCTGCCTGCCCTGGTCTGCTTGGCCCAGGCTGTGCACCACACTAATCTTCCCTCATCATTTCTGGGCATTGGGAATCAAAGCTTCAGAGACATGGTTGATGATCGCCTCATCTGGGGGTCACAGGCTGAGGTTCAATACCTTCACTTCTTGTGGGATTTTTTTTCTAATAATCACCTGTACCCTTTTCTCACCCACCTTGGTACCAAAATTAACTAGACTGCCTAAGGGAGGTACTTGGCAACCCACTGCAAGCAGCATTTTGAAGGATATAATCCTCCTTCCTCTGTACACACTTCGCACACTGAATCGTATATTATAAAACTCTTTGCTGTGCATTTTGTCACCCATTCCCAATGCCATACTGTAAGGTACACAGCAAGAGATTGTCATTCCCACCTTTAGAGGAAGAAACAGACTCTAAAACTCTTGGTAGCTTGGCCTTGCCCAGCGATGATGTCTGAGCTGACAGACTGATAGACAGTCCATGCTCCATGTTACCCCGGTAGATCCTCACGTGGTCCAGAACTGGATGTTCCTTATATGTGGCCAGTGGGGCTAAATGAGGTTTCTTTGGATGCACCAGAGGTGGGACCCAGCAAAATCAAGATAGAAGCAGTCTTGCCTCTACCAACCTGTTCTCCACACTGAAACCAGAGTGATTGTTTTCTTTCAGTCAAAAAACTAATCTGACCATGTCTTTCTCTTGTTTTAAGCTCTATGTGTGCCCTGAGCTCCATGCTTTTGTATATTATCTCTTTAATCCTACAACGACACTACAAGATGAGGTGTTAGAATGCTTACATACAGATGAGAAAGATGATACCGCATTCACTAACTTGTTGGAAATCGTAACTGCAGAGATTGAAATTTGGCTAGAAAGTCTGTGCACTGAGCCATCCTGTGGACTACTTCCTGCTTTTTCTCCCCCCGCAACCCATTTATAGTAGGTTCAATAATGTTCCCTGAAAGATATGTCTAAGTCCTAACCCCCAGCACCCGTGAATGTAATCTTATCTGCAAATCGGATCTTTGCAGGTGTAACCAAGCTAAGATGAGGTCACACTGGGTAGAGCAGGACCTAAATCCAATGCCTGGTGTCCTTATCACAGGCCATGTGAAGGCACAGAGACACAGAGAGAAGACCAAGTGATGACAGAGGCAGAGACTGGAGCGATGCCTCTATGAACCAAGAAATGCCAAGGATTGCTGGCAACCACCAGAAGCTGGAAGAGGCAAGAATGGATTCTTCCCTGGAACCTTCATGCTTCAGAAGGAGCATGGCCCTGCCAGTTCCTTCATTTTTGGATTTCTAGCCTCTAAACCATGAGAGAAAAAATTGCTATTGTTTGAAGCCACCTGATTTGTGGTGCTTTGTTATGACATTCCTAGGAAAACAATGCACCATTTTATTCTGATGGTGAGGAGAGTCTGGGCCACGCCTGGTACTGTTTTCCCCTCTGAAGACTGTTAATGGCCATCCACCTACAAAAGGCTCTGAGAAGTCCCAAAGCTAGGAAAATTGTTCAGCATTTTCTCATCAAATGTTTCCCAAGCAAATTTGTCCTAGGGATCCCATTCTTGCAAAACACCTTCTAGAATGGTGTGAGGCTGGGCTCCGAGGAGCACACTTTGAGAAGGGCTGTTCAATGCCACACTGGCTTTCTTCCTGGGATAATATGGGGTTGGAACCGGAGCCACACACAGGGCCTTCTCCAGGAAAACACCTTCTTTTTGATTGAGTGTACTAGTGCTTATTCATTACTCCTGACAGCCCCTTCCTACTCTCATCAACACTGGAAAGAAAAAAAAAAGCCCCAAGAAACTTAATGATTCTAGACATGGCTATGATCGTGCTATTCCATGTGAGTAGTGAACAAGATGGTCATATTTAATATCTTACAGGGACCCACAGGCAAAAATAGCAGAGGCAGATGCCTAGGCTTGTGTTGTTTTGTCTAAAGTATGAAAGACAAGAAGTCTGAAATCTGGAGGGCTCTGTGGGAACTCAACTTTTGCCTCTGCAGAGGAATTTTCCTGAAGGCAAACCTGAAAGCTTCAATCACTACTCTGGGATGCTTCATCGTGCTTCCATCTCTCAGCCAAGAATGCCTCAGAGAATTTCTCAGCCAAGAATGCCCCAGTCAGGCTGCCCTTTGGTTCTCAAAAGGTGAGATGCATTTTGTCACCTTCCGAGGCTACAGATACAAGGCTGCACACTGGCTTTCTGTGCAAGAAACTGTTCTGTGCCCCTGGCAACCTGCTGCCCACCATTTTCCTCACCTTTCACCGTGCCTTATTAATTTCTCAGCAGAAATGTCACTTCCTCCGGGAAGACTTCTCTGACTCTCCAGGCTCCATCTCTCTGCTTCACTCTCCCCAAGCACCCTGCATATCTTCCTTGGAGACACTGACACCACACAGTGACTTGCTCACTGACTGTCCCTGCCAGATCATGGGTGCCATGAGGACAAGATGGTCATAACACAGTAACAGTGTCAGGCCTGAGAAGCCCCCAGGACATAGCTGATGAACGGACATCTGCCTCTTCTCTGGGTGCCCACTTAATCTCCACTACCACACCCCAAGCGTCCTTTCTCTGCATGCTAGCCCCCCAAGATCTGGGGGAAATGTCTGCAGAATCATGAGCACCTTCCTGGTATCTTTACACAACACCAGAATCCATGTTTGGTGTTCATGATAGCCTCACACTCCTGAAAAGGTTTCCATCCCAAGGTGCAGCAAGTATCTGTGCCAGTTTGCACCGTTCAATTAGTATTCTGGCTGTCACATTCCATTCTGGACTTGGCTTGAAGTTATGAGGAAGGTGAAGGGTTCAGTGATGGGTTCATGCACTGTTCCCACTGATGAGGCTCAGGGGAAGAGGGAAGTTCCATCTGTGGACACAGGGACTAGTAGGAGGCTCTATGCTGTGGGGTTTGGTGTACAGTAAATTCTCTGGGTGTGCATATTGGAGGCTGCTGTTTTCTTAACAAGTTTAGTATCTCTGTTACGTCAGATGCCCCAAAAGCAGGCCTGCCTTAACTAGAGCAGATATATTCTGGGTTGGCTAGACAGAGGACAAGGCAACTCCTAACTATTCTCCCTCGAAGATCTTTCTTAGGCCTCAGCAGCATACGTCCTTTCATTAAGAGTAGGATGGTGGCAACATCCCCGGTTTAAAGAAGACTTCTGACTTCTAGACCAGTGTTATTTGGCCAGTTATGGGGCACATGTAAGGGTCAGGTTGGATCAAGATCAGGTAGATTTTTGTTTGTTTAGTATTTACTATTTTCCAGACAGTTTGTTAAGAGCCTTACATGAATGATCTTATTTAATTCCTTTATTAGCTCTTTGAGTGGGTATTACTATTGTCCCCATTTCGTAGATAAGGAAAACTGAGGAACAGAGAGGTTAAGTAACTTGCCCAGCACAACACAGTTAATAAATGACAGAGCCAGGATTCAAACCTAGTACTGACTGACAGCTAAGCTATGTTTTCAATTAACTTTTCTGGTAGTTTCCAACTAATTACGTAGTTTCCTGGCACCAGGCAGACTGCAGCGTGTGGTCTGTGTTGATGATGCAAACCCTGCAGTGTCCCTGATTGCCATTCAGGTGTTGGGGGCTGGGAGGTCAGCTGAGGACGGCCTCTGATGTAGGTAGGCATGGCTGAGATGGCTGAAGGAAGGTGGGACTGCCAGGAGATAGACCTCTTGGGTAATGAAAGATGATCCGGGACTGGGAGGGATTGGTCACTATCTCTTGGGCCTGACTCCTCCTTGCTAGGCTCTGAAATCTCTCTGCTGATATGCTTGAGGTCCTCCCTGCCAGCCTGTGCTCGGAGCTTTTGGGCCTGGACCCCTTGGTTCAGTGCTCCATTTGGGCTTGCATTTTTGATATCTGACTCTCAGGGAGCAGCAGCCCTCTGACCTCTCCAGCTCAGCACAGAGCAAGCAGCTCCCTTCATGGTGGTCCCAACGCTGCTGCCTCTGTGGATAAATGGGAAGGCTGGCTCTGCCATCTAGTCATGTGGTACCTTGGGCAGGTTCTGGAGCTTCTCAGAGCTTTGTTTTTTCCTCCGCAAAGTGGGGATATCAGTATTTACCTCATGAGTCATTGTAAGACATCAATGGAATACAGGTGATTAGCACATGGTAACTATTCCATGAGTCTTAACTTTGACGACGATGACAATGATGACAACAGCAATGGTGATGACAAAACACGAGGTCCCAATCATGCTAGACCACGCACAAACTTTAGTGCCTATGTAAGTGGCGACCTTGCTTGGAAGGACAGATGACAACATAAAACTGTCTCTATATAAAGTTATCATCCTTACAATTTGTGTGTGGGCTCTGGCTCTTACAAACTGTGTGAATTTGGGCAAGTGACTCAAACCTCACCCTTTCTGAGCCCATCCACTCAGGAGAAATTTGGCCTGCAGTAGGAGACCTTGCACCCAGGAAATGGAGTGAGACCTTTCCAGGGGATTGGGGATGTCAGCTCCTGACGGGTGATGGGTCCCCAGGGCAAAGTCTCCTGTCTTGGTCACACCAGCAGGGTAGCAGAGGCTGCTCTTGAGGGTGAGCTGACCTGGCTGGAGCACAGAGGGATTTGGGCAGCAGTTGCTCCCTCTGCCCTCTCAGGAGTCACCCACCTGTAACTTCTTGCTTTGAACTCAGCTATCTCTTCCCAGCTTCCCATTCAGTCATCAGCCCAGCCCTTTCTGTTCAAAGGGAGCCTCCTCTCTGTGAGAAGTGTCAGCTTCTGAGGCTAGACTCCCATGCCCATGACACCTGTGCAAATATGGCCTTTTTGATGACCACTTCCCCAGGGCAGGGCCTGGCTCTGGCTGGGCAAGCAGGAGCTAGATGTGTGTCATGAGCCTCCAGGGCCCTCATGACTTGTGCCAGGCTTGAGGTGATTCAGACCTTCAGTGACTTCAAGCTGGGTGTGGGAGATAGAATAAAGCAAGAATGGGCTCTCTGTACTCAAGTAAGTCTCTGATCAATGCTCCGACAAGGCTCCGATCCTGCTTTTCACTAGGACGTGAGTTTGGATGAGACACTTGGCTTCTCCTAGCCTCAGTTTCCCCACCTTCTAAGCTGGACTGAAGATATTAACCACTTCAAAGGACTGATGGGATAAAATCTACTTAGCACAGTGCCCAGCACACGAGAAATATTCCATATTTATTAGCCATCATCAGCGCACTGCCATTCTTTACTGAGGAGCCACCAGTTTGTAAGAAGGCAGACAAGCACTCAGACAATCCCAGACATGGGACCAGTGCTCTAGGGAGCAAGTATTGGATGCTGTGGGAGCATGGAGAAGGGGCACTAGAATTGCTGGTATGTCCGGAAGGTGCCATCAGGATAAGGGGTGAAGAAGGAACCACCCCTTCATCCTGGAGGAACAGCGGGGCAAGAGACACAGCCCCTTCCCTCAATCTACCAATGTGCAGACAGGTCTCAGCTCCTCGTTGGGATCTGCATGACAGGCAGGCCATCACAAGTGTCATGAAAGAGCTAAGGGACACGTAGGGCAGTTGTGGGTGAGAACAGCATCCCCCTTGGAGTTTGATAATTGGGAAAGTCTTCATGGGGAACTAACATTTATAGTGGCTTCTAAGAACAGCTACTTTTGGAATGTGTAGACCCTATGGAGAAAAGCACAGAGAAAATGCATAGACTAGTGGGGGGAAGGGAGTGTGGATATGTGGTGTGTAGTTTCTGAACGAGGGGTCCTTTCAGTGAGGCATGAAGAAGCCAGAGCTGAGGGGTGGGCGGCAGAGCCACGCCTGCCCCTGGAACAGTAGGGGTGGGGCAGGGTGGGAAGTCTGTCAGGGAGGCTCCCAGGATCCTTTATTCATGCCTTACTGGGCATGGCCCTGTGTCTGGGGACCGAATCCACAGCCCATGGGCTACTGAGGTGGGCGGGAAGGTCCCTGGGGCCTGGTCTGACCCCGTCTGGTAGGCCAGCTCTACAGTCCATAGAGGGGCTGGCACCAGTGGACCTCTCTGCATCACCTCCCGTCTCCGTGCCTCTGCTCTCCGCCTGTGGTTTTTTCTTCAGGTCTTCCTGTGTTTGACGTCTCTCAGTGCTCAGCGTCTCTCTTCACCCAGCCATCTTTCCCTTATTTCTCTGTGCAATCGTCAGCAGGTCCTCTGCTTCCAAAACACATCCCAGATCTGACCACGCTTTCTGTCTCCTCTGCCTCCATTGCAGCCCAAGCTGTCTTCACCTCCTGCCTCAGAACTATGGTAGTCTCCTACCTGGTCCCCAGCTACCACGCTTGCTCCTGAATGTCCTCACTGCAAACTGGAGTGTTTGCGGCAGTTCTTTCTATCCATTCAGAGTAAAATCGAAGCTCCCATTGAGCCTATAAAGTCCTGTCTGGTCTCAATCCTTCCCTTCTCTTTTGCTCAATGCATTTTAGCCACTTTGGCTCATTTTTATTTTCAGGAACCCCAAGCATGCTGCTAGCCCAGGGTCTTTGTACTTGCTGTTTCTTCTGCCTGGAACCCTTCCCCAGACACCCTCATGGCTCACTGCTTCTCTAACCCTGCTCCACTGTCGTTCCCCAGAGAGGCCCCCCACTTAGCCGAAGCAGCCTCCCATCCCTTTCTTTCTTATCCTCCTGTTTCATTATCTTATGCCTTTATCAGTCTGAAATGACCTCAAGTGTTTGTGTGTTCATTGTCTGTTTCCCTCTTTAGCTTGTCTGTGAACTCATGAAGCCAGGGACCATGACAGTTTTGTTGTTTGCTGGAGTCCCATGCCTGGTGTGGAGCTGACTTAGAGGTAAGAGTACAGTGAATATGCGCTTACGAGTTGAGTCAGCCAGTTGAGGCCTTGGTGCCTGGGACTGAGCATGAGGAAAGAGGTTGAGGTCTGGGCACTTGGGTCCTTGGGGCTGAAACATCTTCTCCCTGTAGGCTCTGTGCCCCTGTGACACAGGTCCTCCAGCCTTCCAGGCAACAGGCACTGGGGATAGGAATGCAGATTCTGTCCACAGTCCCTTTTTAGTTTAACTTTTTAAAAAAATTATTTTATTTTACCTTAAAAATATGGGGTACAAGCCGGGCTCGGTGGCTCAGCCTGTAATCACATGCTTTGGGAGGCTGAAGTCAGTGGATTGTCTGAGCCCGTGGGTTCGAGACCCGCCTGGGCAACTTGGTGAGACCTCATCTCTACAATAAATCAAAAATTAGCTGGGCTTGGTATCGCGTGCCTGTAGTTCCAGCTACTTGGAAGGCTGAGGAGGAAGGATCACCGGAACGCAGCAGGTCGAGGCTGTAGTGGCCAGGAGTGGCCACTGCACTCCAGTGTGGGCGACAGAGTAAGACTCCGACTCAAAAAAAAATGTGGGGTACAAATGAGGGTTCAGTATATATGTGGTCATTATACAGGTAAGGTGTGGGTACCCTTATTGATGTTATGTGCCCCCTTTCCCTTGTAAATTCCCACTACTGCCAATCCATTTCTTATAGTATTATGATAAATTTTCAGGGTCCACTTATGAGTGAGAACATGTGGTACTCAGATCTTTGTTTCTGTGATAAATCACTGAGTATTCTAGACTCTAATTCCATCCAGGTTGCTGCAAAGTTCATAATTTTGTTTTTCTTTATGACTGCATAATTTCCCATCATGTAAATGGACCACATTTTCTTTATCTAGTCCACTTTTGATGGGCAGCATAGTTGGTTCCATGTTTTTGCTATTGTGAATAATGATGCAATAAACATAGTTTCTTAACTTTTATTATGGAAAAGTTCAAACATCTGTAAGAGCAGAGAGAAGAGCATGAACCAAACCCATGCGCTACCACTCCGCTTCAACCATGAACAAGTCCAGCAAATCTGGTTTCATCTATTCTATTCCTATTCTATACCCCCACCATGGTTTATTCTGAAGCAAATCCATGGGCTCTTCTTCTGTGGAGAAGCCCAGAAATATTTCCTGGCAAGTGTTTTCTGCAGCCTCCCAGCTTCTTTCTCCCCCTGTATCCCAAGTCCTCAGGTGCTTGTCTTCTCACCCAGTTCAATAGCTCTCAGTAAGGGATCTGCTAAATGTACTCCCATCGAGGTACACATGTCTGAGATTTTCATGGTCACTGAGATGGTGCATCATCCAAATTCTCTATTTTAATGATGGGATGTCAGGCCCCACCCCCAACAGGCAGAGGTGACCAAGCCATCCAGGGGAGCTTGGACCACAGTTAGACTGGCGCCTGCAACATTACTGCTTTGTTGCCCTGTGGGGAGTGGGGTAGCGGCAACAAAAGGGATGTTTGCTATGATTCAGTCAAGACCTGAGCTTTAGAATCGTTCTTCTGGTGGAAAAACATACAGAGAGAGAGAGAGAGAGAGAGAGAGAGAGAGAGAGAGCGCTATGAATCCCACTGAGGTGGAAAAGGCAGGCACTGCTTTCAGAGCTGGACTGGCCCTCATCACAAGCACAGCTAGACGGGCTCATGCATCATCCCCTTCCCTCTCCCTGTAGATAGGACATTTGCTTTGTTTAAAGTTGATAAAATGCCATTTCATTGGTAGTGTTTTCATTTAGGTTTCATGACTGTCCTGCCAAGGTGATTTTATTATTACAAAATATAGAAAACTCCATTGGGAGAAGAAAATAATATAAAACAGATTTTGCCTCACATACCAATATTCGTTGGAAAATTGAGACCTCAACTCACAACTCTTTTCATGATACTAAAATAAAGATCCCTGATGACTCCTAAGGTGCCAGTCCCTGGGCCTGTGCCACCTTGTCCTGCTGCCCTTTGAGCTACAGAGCCTGGGAATTGACCTGCTTCTGGGGAAGGAGCTGGAATCAGTCTGGACTTCCCAGTCGTGGGCTCTTGAGCCAATTCCTTTGGCTCCACCCGAGTCCTAGACTGACTCTCTGGCCAGATTTTCCATTGAATTTCATGGGAAGCTGTGGGAAGAGCCCTGCTACAGGCCAGTTCCTAATCCACAGGTTCTGGCTTTCAACCTGTAGGGAGCAGAATCAGCCAGAGAGCCTGATCCAAATCTGGATTCTGGGGCCCACTCCAAAGGTTCTAACCCAGTACAGAGAAGACAGGGCCCCGGAGTCTGCATTTTAGTAAGCAAGCTCTGGTGCTTTGAATCCAGCAGGGTACCCTGGACCATGTTCCAGGGATACTGCTGTGCTGAGGGGCACAGCGTGGTAGGAAAGGGGCAGGGTCACTGGAGTTGCAAATCCTAAGTTCTAATCTTGGCTTACTGACAATTTACCTTTAGTTTCCCTCCCCACCCCCTTTTTTTTGAGTTGGAGTCTCACTCTGTCACCCAGACTGGAGTGCAGTGGCCGCT